AATTGTGATTCCTATATAGGGTGAATGATTTTGTGTCCATAGATCAGTTGTAAAAAAAAATGTGTCCATAGAATTTTCATGTACTCGTATAAATTTTTTTCTCCTGTAATAACAGCTTCACTCATTTTTTTGTATAGACTGTTTTTACAAGGAATTGGATAAGATGGCTCTAATTCTTTAACAAATTCACAAATTTTATATTAGCTATTATATGAAAAGCTTGCATATCATCTATTAACAATGCTAATAAACGGCTTGTAATTTTTTCTATTTTATTTTGTTCAAATTGCTTCAGCTTCTTTTCCATCAATAATTCGATGTTTACTTCTTAAATGGCCAGCAATATTAGTTGTACTTGTTTTTTCTTGAAAAACCATTCACATTGACGTTTAGTACCATTTTCTTCAATTAAAACTTGACAGCGTCTACTTTTTTTTTAAATGAAAGACCAAACCCAACTTTCAGATCCTCGCTTAGCTGGAATGACTTGAATATGTGAAACAGTTGGCGTTGATTTATTATCTGATGAATTATTCATAATTAATTATTATACTAATATAAAGTTTGAAAAGATTGTCCATTTTTTTTTTGTAACCTTTGATATTTATATAATACATGTTGAAATTTATAAAAAAAAAACAAAAGATGTTACGAACAATAATAACAATTAAAGATGTTACGAACAGTAAGGTAATTATCCAATAAAATTATAAAGAAGATAATTACCAAAATTGATGTTACAATAAATTGATTAAGTCGGCTAAGCTGATCAGGGGTCAGCTAGGGCAACTGAGTCGACTGACCCCAGTCAGCTTAAACACTAGATGCAGAACTGAAATAGAACCGACGAGCTGATCCACATCCCTATCCACATGTCTTCCATGCCACAGCTTGACCATGTACTGGCTAGAAATATTTACCAAAGATTCCACCACCTATACATCTATGATGGAAATTCCCGAAAAATACTTGCAACTATTTTTCTACTGCCAGTCTTTTCCAAAGTTTGCTCCATCCTCCCGTTCCTCGAAGAATCTTTATCATCAAAATAATGAGAGGAATCAGAATAATAGGGTTCATCATAATCAGAGTTATCAGAGTTATCAGCGTTATTAGATGAATCACTTTCAAGCGTTATACGACTCAGGCATTATCATTAATGGCAAGTTGGTTGATATGGCAAACGCATTCGCGTAAATTTGGATTAACATCATTAGGTTGAACAACACAGGAAACATGCAGGATGGTAGGATTTGTTTCTTCTCGCTTGAGAAAGTATGTATCGCTATAATTTGATAAAATTCCGTAATGAAGGCCAATAGTATCCTTTTCTGTAATTTAAAATTTGGATCTGATATCGACAACGGTCGGCATATTGATAAATTTTCCAGAATTATAACCGCATAAATTAAGATTATGGCGCGTTTTACATTTCCACGGTATCGATTATTAGTGCATAAAACATGATCAGAAAAGCCAAAAATGATCCTTGTGGTGATAATAATACTTCGACAGGCGCTAACACGTTAAAATATAAACGAGATTTCGCTACGCCTTCGACTCTTAAAGATTATGTAATAGTTGGAGAGATTAGGAGTAGTTCCTCTGGAAAGGGATATTGTATATCGACAAGTCTTACTCTTTAAAAAGATCCAATCCATTCCTTTACATTATTGGCGTTGCTGATATTGGCGCTGTTGCTGATGGAGGTGTTAATAAACTGGAGAAAGGTAACGGCTTATTTGGAAACCATGGAATAGCAGAAATTGTTGAAGATGGATTAGTTGAATTTTGCGGTATCCATTGGCAAACTGGAACGACGTGACTTAGTAATTGACCAGCGGTTCCGGTCATCTTTAACGTTAAAGTTACAGAAAGGACTTTAGTTTCTCTGAGTCAAAACTAAAATGGAAAAGGCTTTGAAGACAACAAACCGAAATAACAATGAATGACGTATAAATTTAACCATATAACCATTCATTTATGTCATCATTAGACGAATCAGCAAGTCGAGCAAAATCACGTGTCGAGATTATCAGAAAAACGAAATTTATACACATAAGTTTAATATTATTTATTATACTGCATCTTATAAGATAACTGACAAACATTTTTATTCTATCCGATCATGAAGTTAGTATTGGAATAATTTATTAGTATAGATGTTTAGACATTGGTGTCCACCATTAGTATAAACTCTTTTTGCATGCGAAATACATGATGACTTTTGTCTTACGATTTAAAAATTATATAGGTACAATAATTTTAATAATTCAGAGAAATCATCCAAGTCGCTTTGTGACAACATCTCAGGGCATGGTCAAATTCAAAATAAAATCATTACCAAAACACAATAACCCTGTCATATTGGAACATGATCCTGAACAAAACATTGGTATGCAGAAATTAAAGACTTTGTTACAAGAAATATTTACAATATTTTCAGGAGAGATTGCATTGAGTGAAAAAAAAAGAGTTTTATGGAAATTAATACTTATCAGCTGGTATTTCGAAAAAAAAATTTAATGGCAATTTACCTGAAACCAAATAAATGATAAGTGAACCTATGATTTATCATTATCTTTCAGGTATTTCTCGTAAACTTTCGCAAAAAAAAAATTCCAAAGAATCAAACCTATATATAAAATATATATAGCGCAAATAAGCTTCCGGACATGCAAATTAAAGAGCACTGACACGTAATCACGTGATCATGACTTCCTTTTTTTTTGAAAAAAGGAAATAAAATTTTTTTTTTTCGGATTAAATAAAATAAATTGTAAAAAAAAAAAAATTCATGGGCTGTTAGCAATAAAGATTTGATCCCCAAAAAATTTTTTCATGGCTTATTTTATTCTTCAAAGCAAATTTGAAAGATATTTTTGTTAAAAGGCATTTCTTTGAATATAATAAAAAAAAATTTAATTTATAAACATACAATATAGTGAAAATATTAGAAATTAAGATAGAAAGTAAAAAAAAAAGATTCTATAATTACTGCGCCATTTTTGATTCTAATTATGCATTAACCAAATAATAATAATCTTTGTTAACCTAGCGACAATATCTCTTTTTCTCAAAATTGCGCTTTCAATAGTTCTACACTTCTTACCCCTTTTTGTTTTTTCTTCCGCTATACGCAACATGTAAATCGTCTCGCATGTGTATCCTTCAAAACTACCTTTTCAAATTCAATTTCTTATCTTTAAACCAAGTTTTAGAGTATTATTCAGTTTTCGAAGAGTCGCCTCTTTTTGAGGCTTCGAAAAGATGTTAATACGAATTAATGACGAAAGGATTATTTCCAATATATGTAAAAAATTGATACCATGGCTTCCAAAATTTCACCAATTATTTCAAATGTTTCATAAAATCCCACGGTAAAACAAGAAACAACAAACGCAATAATAAGTAATATTGGTATTGATATTAAATACAAATCAACCACATCGATCATTCTCCATTTTCCGTCATCTTTAGGGGAAAAAAATAAATCCAAGTATTAATTGTATTATTATTAAGGGAAAATGAAAAGAAATGTGCTTACTATGAATATCAATAATCTCGGCTATTTTTCTATCTTGCCTATCTACAAATGTAAGTTTTTCATTTGTATAATAAGCCTCAATTACTTTTACTATAAATTCCTCTTTTGCAAATTGTTTAAATTTTTTGGCTTGATTTTTAAAGTTATTTCTAGCAACATTTCTGGATAATCGCGCATTTTTATCATGCTTCTTGGTTTCAATCATAATGTAAACTCCATACTTTGATCCAAAAATTACAAACAATTCAAAGTCAATAAGATAATTAAAACCGGGTAAAATTTTGTCAATATTATTGATTAAATGATTTTTCTCTCCATCTATTGAATGTATTGAATGAGGAGAATTATTATATTTTTGCTTCCATTCCATTCTTTTTTCTTCATCTAACCTTTTTAACCTTTGAATAAAAGGTTTAACCCATGTTCTATTTATCAATAAAGCACTTCTCAACGTATCTTTCTTGTAGTCAACATAAATGTTTGAATAAAATTGGTGTGTTACGTTGACGTTTCTTGATCGAAAAGCTTCTAGAAGCAGTTGATCAATAAAAGAACAATCATAATGATGATGTCCTAAATCAAGTGAAGAGTTTACTAGTTCGAATGGATGAGATAAAAGTTTTGAACATATATCAAGGACAAATTTTCTTTTTTTTTCATCATAAACATCAACGTAAAAGAAAAATGACCAAAAGTAATCCATGTTCAAATTTTATTATTATTTTTTTTTGTCACAAAAATAAAAAACGATCCATACTTTATTAAAAAAATTATTATTCTTGTTTACCAATTTGGAACATTTTCGTGATACTGTTGTTGTAGCCCAAATGCGTTAATACCCGAGGTGATCATTTATCCCAAACACAATATTTATTTTATGCATTGATTGCGTCACTTTAAAACTCCAATAGACCTATATCGATCGAAAAAGTAATGTCTTGAATAAGAGGTAATATTATTTACACATTTGTTATCTCCGAATTTTCTATTCAAGCCAAAAATTTAAGTCTTAAAGTTCGAAAAAAAATAATAATAATAATAATTAATGTTATAAAAAGTAAATAATAATAAGATTTATTGAATGATAAATAAAATTATATTTTCCATTTAAATATTAATAGATTTTGTAAAGATTTCTTAATAAACTCTTAAAAATTCATTTTTTTTAAAAAAAAATTAAGTTAATGCATAAAAAGAAGATTTTATTTAAAAAAATCTTTTGAATAAAAGAATAAAAATAATAATAATTAAAGTTATTATTATTAATAAAAATTTATTCGATTATCGTTATTAATAAATTTTATAAAATAAAAATTTAATTTTAAGTTAATAAATTACAATATGGGAGCTTGTCAATAGAAAGGGAGAAATATCTAAACTTATTTTACTAAAAAAAATCATATTTAGCATATGAAGTAAAATTTTAATTTTTTTTATATATCTATTGACTATTAATTAGATTTAAATATTTAATAAATTTTATAAATTTTATTAAATATAAATAATTTTATTCTATTTATAAATTTTTATTAATTAATAACTTGTAATAATTTTATTTTATTTATAAATATTTATTAATTTATATTTATTTTATTTTATTTAAAAATTTTAATTTAATTTTATAATTGATTTTTTTTTAAAATATCAGATTTTAATTTAATTAAATATTTTTTTTTTTAATTAATTTTTTATTTTCTTAAATAAATAATTATAAAATTAAATTTATACATAAGATTTCTTATCATTGCTAATTTAAATTACAAATTAATAATATCATTAATTATTTTTTTTCTTATATGGGTAGGATTCTATTAAAATTGAGGTACGGATCATATGATTTACTATATCTCATAATCCACTTTTAATAGATCAGCTCTATTCAGATTTTTATTGCAATTATTATGGTAGATTTTTTATAAAACTTATAATTTTAGAAAAATTATTTTAAATATTATAAGAAATTATAATAAATCAACTAATATTTTTAAATTTTTATAACAAGTATTATAAATGCTTTATTAATTGTATAATATTTTTGATTCTTTTAATTTTATTTAATAATTTATTTTAAAATTTTTAAATTTTTATTGATTTATTTATAATATTAAAGTATAATAAAAAAAACTTACTTTTAAGATATAATTTGAAACTAATTAATCTAAATATTTGATGTGTTATTTATCAAAAAAAAAAATTACTGATTAATTGGATTATCTATCAAATAAATTAAATAAATAACTAGATATTTATCTTTGTAAAATAATCTAATTTTTTGAGGTTTTGAAATGAATGAATTAAAGATAATCTTTAATAGGAAAATTTATTAGTATTTTTTTTTTTAAAAAAAATAATATTAACTTACGAATTATAAACTTTATATATTTTTGAATAAAGGTAAATTCAAAATAAGATGTTTTTATTCATTAATATATATAATTTTATTTTAAATGTTCTTTTTAGAATTTAATTAGAAATTTTATATAGGCATTATATCAATAGATTTATTTATAATTAAAGTATATTATATAATATAAGCATTTTATAATAAAAAGATATGAAATCCTAAAAAATTAAATCTTTACTCTATAAATTAAATATGATTTTTTTTAGTAAAATAAGCTAAGATTTAATATTAATCCAAAAAAAAATTTATTTAGATTTTTATCTTTTTACTATAGTTTTTATATGCTAATCTCAATCATATGGGAGCTTTGCTATTAAAAATGGATTCCGGTGACTTTTAACAAAAAATAAGATTTTTGATTCATATTATAGTATACTAAATGAACTAAAGATGGTATAGCAATTGATTTCAAATTTACAAAATGTTGCAACATAAGCTAAAATTAGTTGCAACATATAT